TTCTCTCCATTTCTCTCATGCACAAAGTTAAGATAGAGCAGATAGTGCCAGATCAAGATTATATAGATACAAAAACGGCAAGGATCAGAAAGTAATTATTCTGCCTCAGTGGAATTCCGAGTTCCGAGAATTGAAGAGGAAATAAATAAAATAAATAAAATGCAGCTTTGGTTTTCGAGTAACCAAAGAATAACAGTAATTATTTTGAAAAGTCAACATATTAGTTCTGTTTTAAAAAAAACAGATGGTGATTTTGTCAGCACTGCACTGACATTTCCCTGTGTTTTCTCATACTGTGAAACGATAGCTCTCCCAAAGCATGGGAACAGCAGTTGACCTTATCAGAATGTGTTCAATGGTTGCCCGAGCATAGAGTATTCCTTATAAGGCTCTATACAGCCATTATCAATGGCTCAATAATGATGAGCTCAGCTGCCACAAAATTGTTCTTTAGCTGTGACTTTCATGACTCTGGAAAAAGACACATGGTTGTGAAAACCAGGCACTGAAATCGCCAACTGGAATAGGTCTCCACTAGGAGTAGAGAATGGAAAACATTTGGATTATTTTCATGGGTTTTTATGTCTGAACAGGGTTTAAATCCTAAACCTAATTAATTTTGTTGTTGCTTGTGTAGAAGAATTTTGAATTTTCAATGCTGGATGTCAGGTTTCATTTTAAAGCAACCTGCTCTGTAAGTGCCCGCAGCCTCACAGTCTGACTCGCTTAGGGCACTGCCTCATCATCCCTCCAAGTTCAGAGGCAGCTCTGGGTGCAATCGAGTTTGACAAGACGTTTTATTTGGACACAGGAGCAGTTAACAGACAATGAGGCTGATTCCACACTCCAGTCACCAGAACAAGGCTTCAACAAAGTATGGAGCAAGTCATTGGGGGTTGGAATCAAGAGGGGTGGAGGGTAGACGAGGTGTGAGGGGAGCCGAAGCATGAACAAAGAGGAAAGTCTTGAGACAAGGGAGGGATCGAGGCAGTGGGATTCCGGGATGGAGTTCCAGAGGATGAGGGCAGAAAAGCTGAAGGCCCGATCACCTATGGTGGGGCAGGCAGAGCAGGGGACATGAAGCAGACCATTGGCCACCGAGCAGGGGGAGTGGACAGCTTGGTATGGTGTTAATACGTCACAGAAGTAGGAAGGAATAAGGCCTTGTAGGTTTTAAAAGTGGGGACGAGGATTCATGTCACCTGAATAGACGGGACGTCAGTTTAATGTTTCATCTGAAGGATGCACCTCTGACAATGTAGCATACCCCCCAAACCCTAGTACTGCAATGGAATGGCAGTATAGACCAGTGTTGGTCAACCTATGCCCATGGGCTGGAAGTAGCCCATGGGCTGTGAAGAAGCGGCTCCTGAATATTCACACAAGTGTAGTTGAGGCATATATTCAATCAAGGAAATTTATTTTGTTGACCGACCATAAAGGTTAGCCACCAGTCGTATAGACTATATGAGTTTGAAGTCCCAACGTGGAGTTTTGAACACACAACCTTATAACTCACATGAGAAAGTGTCACCAACTGAGCCAAACTATGCACTTATACATCCTCTTTATGTCTGACGCAATGTTGACATCAAGAATACACCTTCAGTTTTCTGGTTGTATTTCATAGAATCGTAAAATCTTAGAATTACACAGCACAGAAGGCGACAATTTGGCTCATCATGTCTGTGCCGGCTCTTTGAAAAGAGCTATCCAATTCAATTCCACTGCCCCGTACTCTCCCCATAGCTCTGCAAATTTATCCTTCTTAAGCTGTCTTTGAGTTGAAAACCCAAATATTAACAATATATACTCGCTCTAACAAAGTGGACAGTAAAAGCAGGGAGAAGGAAAAAGAAAAATGAGAGAAACGCATGAACATGAACAAAATGGGTGAGGATAGGCTAAAATAGCATGAAATTAAGGGGGAAAAAAGGGAATAAGAGATAGTACAAGGAAAAAAGGGGTGACAAGGTAAGCTCCAAGTAAGGTTTATTTTTACAAACCAAAATTGTGCTTCTTGTAGTGGATTTGGGTTAATAATATTTCAGTAAGTTTATTGGTGTTTTATGGAGTGCCAGAATGACTTGAGCTGAAAACATAAGCAATTGATTGGTCCATAGAAGTTACCACAGAACTACTGTCAGACTAAGTAACAATAAATAATCTTGCATTTTGATATAGCGCCTTATCACATTGTTGAGACACCTCATCACCTCAATTGCAACCACCAAAACGTTACATTGATATAGCACCTTTTATATAAGGTAACATCTCGGAGTGCTTTGCAGGTAGAGTTGAATACTTATGATGATGGGGGAGAGAGATGATCATAGGCAAGTCGAAAGATGTAGGATTTGAAGTGGGATTTTAAGACATTAAAAGAGGGGTAGTGAGATAATGATAGAGGGAGGGAGTTCCAGAGGTTAACAGTGTAGGAACTGAAGATTCGACCACTGATGGTGGAGTGCAGATTGAGGGAGATGAGCAGCAAGCACATCATGTTCTCACACTGTAACCACTAAGCAAAGAGAAAATCAGGTGGTTGTGAGTGCTCGACTCAGCTGGACAAAGTTAAAGGAGTTTATTGCGACATTTAATGTATCGGTCAGATGACATGCTGTAATCTGGGTTGCCAATGCACATAATTAGGTACCTTTCAGCAGAGTCTGCTCCCTGTGCAGCTGTTACTTCAGCGGGACGATCTTAGTTTACTGCCAGTTAAAATACTGGTTATGCAGCCACATGCTCATCATTGGACCTGCCAGCAATGCAAATCCATTTATTTCTTGGTAACAGTCTCAAGTCTCGGAGATAGCATAGAGCTGCCAGCGAAAAGCAGCATATAATTATGAGGGATTTGTCAACTCCACTTCGGTTATATAGAAGACTGGGCTATTCCCCACAGTGCAAATCACACAAGATGCGGACAATCCTGCAAAGATAGCTTTGGTCTCAAATGCTCCTCCTCGAGTCCAGGACAGTGATGGGAGTGGCAGTGATAGGAATATAATAGTCAACAGCTCTCAGTGATTGTGCCACCAACAATGCTAAATCTCTTATTATTGGCTTAGCCCCACATTCACCTGCATTTCTTAATTGGTAAATACAATGCCAGAATCCCAGTTGTCTTCTCAGGAAAGTTACTCATTCCAGTTTCCCAGAGATCAATTTACATTACTCTGCCATTTTGGAACCTATTTGGTTAAGTTTGTGATTTTTAAAGCATTCTTTCTTTCGCGTTCCTGGTCTGCAATGCTCAATTTGCCACCAAGCACTGGGTTTACTTACTAACTTAAGCATGAAAGAACCCAAAACAGCTGAAATAACGGTTTCATTGTGTCTGCCACATGCAGAAACCCCAACAGCACAATACACTTACAAGTATCAAAACCCAATTTGCACACATGTATGTCACCTAAACATGGACATTTCCCTGTATCTGGAATGGAGTGTATGTTCTCTCCCTGTGTGCTCTCTACTAACCTAATTCTGAAGAACGTTACATTATAATAATAATAATCCTTGCATTTGATATAATAATAATAATCCTTGCATTTGATATAATAATAATAATAATCCTTGCATTTGATATAGGCTTTTCATGTCTTCTAGACATCCCAAAGCACTTCACAGAATGTACTGTAAAATGAATTGACTGTATATTTGTGGGCGAACGCGGCAGCCAATTGCGCATAGCAGTGTCCCACAAACAGTCGTAGATTGAAAATGACCAATTTATTATTGTTTTGTTTTGGAGGGATTATTATTAGGCGTGTGGAGTAAGGAAACTTGCCCAAGGTTTCGCCCGGCCTGGAATTGAACTCAGGTCTCTCACTTGCAAAGCGAGTGCTCTTGTTGAGAGCCAGTGGGCTTGGGGACCCCAGTGTTGGGGTACTCCTGGAGTTTAATCAGCTAAATCCCATGCAGCTTGCCATTGAGAACACTGTTTGACAAGCTTCTCACCACTTGTCTACCTAGAATCACCCTACTGCATTAGGGTTTGCTTGCAGGACTGACAGGAGACAAATGGGAAGAATCCCTGCTCCCAGTCAACACCTCCAAGTTCTTCTTAGTAGGAATTGTGTCTCTATCAGCCTGGCTCAGTTGGTAGAACTCTCTCATCTGAGTCACAAGGTTGTGGGTTCAAGCCCCAAGTCAAGTCTTGAAATTCATGTGATTTAAGCAGACTTTTTAATGGAGTGTTGTGGGGGGATTTGCATTTTAGAAGTGTCGACCTTCTGATGAGATATTAAACCGAGGTACCGTCTGCCTCTTCAAGTCGACATTAAAGATCCCATGGTGCTGCTCAAAAAGAGAAGGGAGTTTCTTCCAGTGTCCTGGCCCACAATCCCCCAAATAAAATTGGTTGTTTAGTTCATGGCTGTTTGTTGGACATTGCTGCATTTGCCCCAAAGACACACAGTCACTGCAATTTACAATATATCATGTGAAGCACATTATGACATCCTCTAGATATGAAAGGTGATATGCCAAATATAAGGATTATTATTATTAATAAGTACTGCATGCCAATCTAAAACCGTTGTATCACCCACAAAGCATGTGTAGCCCTCCACTTCAACAACAACAACAAAATTGCATTGATAATAGCGTCTTTCACATTGGCTTTTTTTTCACCTGTTATTCTGAGCAGAATCGCTGCTCCTTATGTCTTTAGCCCTCCATTCATAGTCTGTCTGGAGTATTGCATCTGCTTTACATCCTCTCCCAAAAGTTAAGACAGTGCTATGTTGGCAGAGCCTTTCTTAGTTTCACACATTTTAGTCACATTTTCTAGGCAGTCGATGAAGCTGTCCTGAATTAAGGAACAGTGTTAAGTAATGAATGGATAATGTATTTATGATAATTGCTTTTCCTCCACAAAAATAATTTGAAGCCTACAACACAATACAATTTTCAACACAGTGTTATATAACGCCATTCAGGGCTTCACACAGCTAAGATCTATCAACTTTATTTCAAGGTCAGTCACTAACCAGGAGATGTTGAAGGTTCTTCCACATGACTTGTTATGAAATGACAGCAGCTTTGTTTTTCTTGTGGACTCTGAGGCCTCCAAATGTCGAATGGTATTCCATTCAGCGATATATTATGAAGGCATCCCGTGAAATTTCTTGTACTTAACATGGCATGATTCAGCTGAAGAACAAGAACAGGAATGTATTGATAAAATATCAAATAGCCTTTTAATTTTGGCTTTGCTGTCACCAATTATCTGCATTCCTCTTGTGAAAATGCTGACTCCTGCTTTGTGAAATTTTCCACTCAACCAACTACTTATTCATCAAATGCAAGCATAGGCAGTGAGCATTGTGCATGAACTGTTGGGAACATTACATTTTCGACCAATATAATAACGTGATATCAGCTTGGCTGAGTCAGAAGGTTGTGGGTTCGAGCCCCACATCGGGACTTGGGATCACATAGTCTAAGATGACACTCCAATGCAGTGCTGTGTGGGGGGGGGGGGTGGTGTTACATTGTTGGAGGTGCCATCATGTTAAATTGAGGTCCCTTCTGCCTGTTCAGGTGGATGTTAAAGATTCCATGACACTGTTCAAAAACTGAAGGGAATTTTTCTCGGTGTCCTAGCCAACAATCCCGAAAATAAAAATTGGTCATTCAGTTCATGACTATTCGTGGAAATGCTGTGCACAATTGTGCTGCTGTGTTTGCCTAAAATACAGTCACTCCATTTCACAATAAAGCCTGTGAAGCACTTTGAGAAGTCCTTCTGAAGAGATAATGTGCTATACCAAATCCAATTATTATTATTAGGGTTATTATAATACTGTCCAGTAACCAGGATTAGTAGTTTAGCTCATTTTCTCTGCTCTAGCCCAAGGACACTGAGGCCAATTCTAATGCCGGGTTGGCTTTGTGACTGAGATGAACAACCTAAGCAGTAACAAACCTAATCAAATTAGGTTGGTGTGGAATCCTGCAGCTCAGTGGTTAGAGCACTCGGCTCGCAAGCGAGAGACCTGAGTTTGATTCCGGGCAGGACAAAATGTTGGGCAGGTTTCCTTACTCCACATGAAGTAGGAACCAGTTGTTAGTCGATTGGTGGATTGCTTTTCCGGAGGTAATAATTCCTTAAAAAAAAATCGCTCACTTCAATCCATAACTGTTTGTGGGACACTGCTGTGTGCAATTGGCTGCCGCTTTTCTCCCACAAAATGTACAGTCAATTCACTTTACAGTATATTCTGTGAAACACTTTGTGACGTCTCGAAGACGTGATAAGGCGCTATATCAAATGAAAGGATTATTATTATTATTCATTTGACACTTGGACCCCTGATCAGTATGTACAAATTTGGCACTGAACAATGCACATCAGAGAGGTATCACTCAATCTTTTTTGACAAATGATTGTATTTTCAATTGTTTTGAATTTTACTTTGAGATGTTTTGATGTGATAAAAGTGTGATCACTCCTATCATCACTTTCAGTTTTTCAATGTCTAGAAAATAAAGTCCATAGGATATGTCACAGTACTCAATTCTGTGCTTTTGTGTTTGTATGTATCTGTGTGTGTGTCTCTGCTTCTCTAACATGTACCTACCTGCATCGGAGCTTGCTTCTCACATTGCTGGTTTAAATTGTGAACCTCATTATAATGGACAGATCTAAAATTTTACTTCTGGATGTGACCCTGAAGCATATAAAGAGGCCTGAAGTTATCCAAGGTTCAGATAAGCAGATTGGAGTGTGCTTAATACACTTTTCACTCAAATTGCTATTCTAAAACTGACACAAACTGTGTTCAGTGATGCTTTGGCACCATATTTCTACAAATTTTATTGAAAGTATAATAACATTTTATCTGACAAAATTGTTATCTTATTGTCTGCTATGATTTACTTTGGTTCAATCAGTTCTTTTGGCACTATCAAAGAGTTATGCATAAATTTTAATGTTACATAGATTAGGTTCAGCCTCTGTCCCATTCATGTCCTCAGTGTTCTGGGAAAATGTATTACAGAATATTTCAATTCAACTTTTCAGATTTTCTTAAGATTTCTAATGGGCTTTTGACCACCACTTAACAGTCTTCCACTGCTCAGTGGCCAGAGGTTAGTTGCAAAAGCTTGTCACTGACATATGCATTCAGTGTTTAGGCATTGCAGGTCACTGGTAATGAATGATAAGTAGACAGACTGTGGCTTCTCTTGAGATCAATGCCTGCAGTTCCTGATTCTGAATTGAAGTGCTCACTCTTCTTTTGTACAGGATATCTCTGGACTAATGGCGGTAGTTGTCATCCACTGAACCCTCGAAGTCTGCTGGCATTCTAACTGTTATGTCACCTTCCCACACGATTCTCTGTTTCTCTTCTGCGATTTTGCACTTCCACGACCAAACAGCTCATAAATATTCATACATATCATGGTTTTCTCTTTCCTAAATGTAAAATAGTGTGGGGGAAACGGCAGGGGAGTGGATCTAAACAGATGCCTCTTACAGAGAGTCAATATGATACAAAGGGAGTGGAACTAAAGAGATATATCTTACAGAGAGTCGTTACGGATACAATGGACTGAATTGCCTCCTTCTGTGCTGAGAAATAAGCTTATGATTTCTAAGCATCCAGGAAAGATTGGGAGAGACAGAAAGATTGAGAGACAGGGAGAGGGGGAGAGAGATGGGGGGAAGGGAGAGAGAGGGGGAAGAAAGGGGGATTTAGAGGGATTGAGAGAGGGGGTGAGAGAGAGAGAGAGAGAGAGAGGATGAGGGTAGGGAGAGGGGAGGAAGGAGGAATGGATTGAGAGAGTGGGAGGGAGAGGGGCGAGAGAGACTGTGAGAGACGGGGAGAGAAAGAGTGATTGAGAGCGAGGGGGAGAAAGTAATTGAGAGGGGAAGTGAGCAAGAGAGAGATTGAGAGCGAGCGTGACAGGGGAGAGAGTTGTTAGAGAGAGAGATTGTGAGAGGGAGGAAGAGAGAGAGGAGCGTGTGTCTGTATGTGAGAGTGTGAGTGAGAGGGGAGAGAGAAAGGGAGAGTGGGAGAGAGAGATTGTGTGAGAGGGGGAGAAGAAGAGTGATTGAGAGAGCAATTGAGAAGAGAGATTGAGAGGGAGTGTGAGAGGGGAGAGAGAGTTGTAAGAGAGTGTGAGAGGGAGTAAGATAGTGAGGGAGATAGAGAGAGCAGAGAGTGATCTAGAGAGTGTGAGATGGGAGAGAGTGTGTGTGAGAAAGTGTGCGTGAGAGAGAAGTGTGCGTGAGAGAGAAAAGGGAGAATGATTGAGAGAGAGAGAAAGAGAGAGAGAGAAACAAAAAGAGTGAGAGAGAGGAAGAAGTGAGGAGCAAGGACAGACACCGAGTGACGTGATGTGCCATGCAGTTTCCTCACAGAAAACTCCTTTTCCCCAGTGAAAAATCTCTCTATGTCCTTCAGTCAAATAAATGCATGCTTAAATTAATGATTCCATTAATAAGACGTCCAGCACTTGATGTGACCTGGATCATTAATCGTTACCTTCCTTTCCTAAGCTTGGTTAAAAGATTAAGTGTGATAGGACTCTTGGCTCTCACTTGTGGATTCCATCCCCTTGTCAGGATGTTGAACCCATAATGTAGCCTGACACTCCAATACAGGACTGGGATTTAATTATATTGTGGAAGTCCTTTGTATAAAACATAAAAATCAAGATCTGTCTGCCTGTTAAGGTGGATATTAAATATCCCATGGTACTACAGTATTTCAAAAGAGTAGGGAGTTTCTCCCAGTGTCCTAGCCCCAAATGAAACTGATCACTTACTTTATGGCTGTTTGTGGGACATTGTTGTGAGTAAATTGGTTGCTGTGTTAGTCTACATAATACAGTCACTATACTCTATGGTGAATCTTGTAAAGTGCTTTAAGAAGTCCACCTGATATGAAATGCAAGGATTGATGCTATAATCATTGGTTGCAGAGAATGATTACCTCAATATCCATTAGTCTAGCTCCAGTAGCTGTTGGGGTGATACATGCCTTTAGGGCACAGTTGTTTGTAGTGTAACAAACTCTGTATTGTGTTGAACAATGTACATTACTAATTAATAAATGGATATTTCTATACTAGTTTTCAGAACATAGCAATTCATCACATACAGACAAGCTCAGCACTTGTCCATATACTGCTCATTACCTTCATATTTCCTATGATTCCTCCTATGTAAACGGTGGAGGTTGGGACCAGCAGGAGGTATTTGTCTAATGTATTTTGGCTTCCGAATGCTGAATGCGATCTCTGTGACACCATTTCTGTTACTTTGATTGAACCTTCATGTCCAAACCTGCAATTTCAATCATAATGATATGAGAATAGCTTCAGACTTAAAATAGTCAAAAATAATATATGGAGTTAAATAACAGTTTTTTTTTTAACCCCGCATGTTGATGAATTTCTTCTAAGGTTTTTATGGTGATACTGTAGATTTTGTTTTAAGTCTGCAGAAAAAAGCTTTTGGAATTTCACTAAGATTTTAAGATGAGTTGTGTTAATTTACTCTCCAAATTCCATCAATGACTCTACAAATGCATGGAATTGTCATTTTGGTTTTGATAATCTAAGCAAGGTGATGGGCCTCCGCATGTGTCAGACACCTGACTGACCCTAAAAAAATGATGGAATTTTGGGCCCAAACTCGTGCTGAATCTGTTGCAATAGACTGACTAACCACTAGGGGCAGTGACTCACTGCTTCTCCCCAAGAGTGACTCCAATTTTTACTCTGATATGCAGCCATCCAGGGCTTTACAACTTTCAACAACAAAATTACATTTGTATAGCGCCTTTCACGTCAGGAGGACGTCCCAAAGAGCAGGGGAAGGACTCAAGTATTTTTTTCTCTCTTGCCCATAGAGTGTTAAGTAAACGATTGCATTGTTTTAATACTTATTTTAGCATGTGGAGACCCTGACCTCAATTCGGGACCTCAAAGAGGTGTATAATATTTTAAAGGGGATTGACAAAGTGAAACCAGAACAATACTCTAGGATGCAATAAGTCAGCAGAACAAGAGGACACAAAGTTAATGTGGCAAAGGGCAGTTTCGGGACAGATACCATGATGTTTTTTTTATTTAGACAGTAATTAATAACTGGAACACATTGCCAGGAAAACTAAATATATTTAAATTTAGAGTAAATAATCTCACCATTCTATGAACAATGAGAAGTATTTCTCACAAGATGTATTGGACAGTCTAGAGCTGGACGTGTACACGTCATTGTACATTGCGCAAATGGCATTGCGCATTCCTGCTTTTAAGGAGACTGTCGATTATGAGTTGTCTTGGTGACTTCATGCTTATTCTGAGAGATACTTTACCTGTTAGCATTGATCTGATACCACTTCTCTTGCTGAAGTCTAACCAGGCTGATTACTGTGACGACAAGATTAGTCATTCCAAATCTGAAGTGCAGCAACCCATCGATCAGCTCCAGTCCCAAGAAACCTTTCACTGAAGATATTATACAAATAACAATGTGTTCACATTTAATGCATTGCTAGAAAAAGTACACAGACTCATTTGTTTCTTAATAAACTCCGAGGGCTGCAAGCATTTGCAATGGGATTTTTACCATGTGAGCTATTGTGGACTGGAAGGAATGGCGGAAGCTGAAATAATGTTTCCTTGCTTCCAGTATCAATGCCCTTGATTTCCTATTAATTTACACGGAATTGCATAAAATGATAGTGCACAAAAACAGGCTATTGTGGCCCAACCAGTCTTTGCTGGTGTTTGTACAGGTTACCAAAAAGCAACCCTATTATCTAAAAAAATCATAATTTGTTTAAGTCTTATTAGACATTGTAATGGTATCATGACTTTTTGGTCACCCTGTATATCCACTTGAGTCCCATTGCCCTCCCTATAACCCCTATTCTCTTCTTCCTTAAGTTTGCAACAAGATTCCTCTAAAATATATTGATGCTCTCTTCCTGGAGGGACGCATCCTGCTTACCTAATTCCAGAAAGTGTCAGGAGCAGATGCTTGGGGACCCCAGAGTGTGTGTTGGGAAACTGCAAGAGCCTAACCAGCTAAAATTGTATAGCTTGCCATTGCTATTGCTGTCTGGCAAACTTTCCATCTGCTTGTCCAGCTAGGGCCAACCTACTCATTAGGGCTTTGATTTGCAGGCTTAACAGGATCTGAGTGGGATGACTCCTTGCCCCGAGTGACTGCTCTGCCCTTCCAGGTTCTGCCGATGAGCCCGGCTGGCTGTGCTGTTGTCAGCAGCGCTCTGGAAGACTACGGACCTGCTTGGCTCAGGAACTGGACTATCGAGACTGCAACAGAGAGCTGGCTCGATTCTGACATTCCGTTGCCAGGCACGTCACCTTGGAGCCAATTCAGCTCCAAGAAGACTCCACTTACCTCACCCCAAGGAGCATAGTCACTAGTCGGTCATTTGACATTCGACAAGTGTGGGTTTGAGCCCTTACTAGGTCTATGTCACAAGCTTGACCTGCATTGGGACCTTGTTGTCCTTAAAGAGGGATGAGCATGACCAGAGTCCTTAACCCTGAAGTAAATAAATAGACAAGTTAAAACATCAGGAGGGTGACAGTGCCAGCAGAAAGAAGACATCATGAGAAGGAGAGAATAGAATATAAAATATTCTGAACGACAATGTGAGGGCTTTTCAAACGCCCTGACAAGTAGATTGCTGCTGCTGATTCTGCAGTGAGGTATCATTACTCAGACTCCTAGTTCATAGTTTCTGCTGTATTTCATTTGAAAAAGGACCGAATTGCCAAATGAAAGGGCCAAGCTCATGATTTCCTGAAGTCTCCCAAGTCTTGAGGTGCCAATGCAACCCAATATAAAAAAAGGCTGTGACAGTATCAGTGACAAAAATGAGTTCACAATGTCAGAATCATCAGATTGTATTGCAATTGTATAGCACACTCTCCCATGCTTCATTTTATCCAATCTGAGTCTGAAAAGTTTTGATGATGAGCACAAGGGAGAATGCATTACAGTGTGAGGCTCTTTGTTCCCATGGGATCTATTGAGATCCTCACCACCTATCAGTAGCTCTATATTGCAATGGTTCACAGTAAATTCAGTGCTTTAGTTATCGTATTTAACATTGATAATTCTGGAACGTTGCAATTTCCACTTGATAACTGAAGACGAGTGTGAGCCTATCCCTGACTCCTCTGGCAGGGTTAAGAATGGAATTGGGGATCACTTAAACAGTTTTGCAACTACTTTCAACTAACCCCTTTTCTACATGTCCACATTCCACATGGTTTCAACTTGGGGTGGGTGTAAAAATACAACTGAAGCCTCACTTAGAAAAAATTAGGAACTGATTTTCTAGACCATACATCTGATTTTGCAACTAATTTCAACTAACCTCCTTTCTACACTTCCCTCATTGCAGATGGTCTCAATTGATCACGCGCTTTGAAAGAAAATCCCAAGATATTGATACATTTGAACTTCCACTATAATGTGTATCCATGAGATTGGACTAAGTTTTAATTGTACATAATGCAGGATGCAGGCCTAATCAATAGGTACTGAGCACTTGGAACAAGCAGATACAGTTGTACCCTAGCAAGACTTTGAATACAAAGTTGGTTAACTTGTCTGCTGTCTCAAACCATAAGTGTATCAAGTTGCTTTAAGTCATTTTGACTCTGACTTAATGTAAGACTTTGAGGTGTTGTCAATTGAATGTTTGTGACCAATAAATGGCTCAATTGAACTGTTTTTGAGTCGTCATTATTCCCTCGTTAATTCAAACGGGATACTGTTTTTGTCTAGTCACTGGAATGTTAGGTACCACCTCCGTGACACTTTACTGCAGGATTGTGACACGAATCTGGACCAAAGATTGTGGCACCACCATGATACGTGGCATTTTAGTGCCACTTCATAGGATACCAGCTCTACTCAATCTGAAATCTTTGGACTCACTTCAGGTAGACAAAGAGAAATTCTAGACACAGTTGTTAGCCACTGTATCAGTAAACATTCTCTTCGCACTCAGCAAAGCTACCGATAAAGCAACAATAACTTGCATATATATATTAGTTTCGCCCACAAAATATACAGTCAGCTCACTTTACAGTGTAGTCTGTGAAGCGCTTTGAGACGTCTTGAAGATGTGATAAGGTGCTTTATAAAATGCAGATATTATTATTACTATTCACTTGGGGTAATGTCTCAGAGTGCTAAAGCAGAAGCTGAAGCCCAAGAGAAGGTATCTTATAGCCACTGCAGGGGTGTAAGCTGCCTTCTCTTGGGTTTCACCTTTAAGCAATCCAAGATGGTAAGCTAAGCCTCCTTCTATGCATCTTTCCAAATTCTTATTCAATATGAATTTCCAGCGAACTCTAGGAATTCATACTGGATAAGAATTTGAAAGATGCAGAGAAAGAATTATTTAGCATATTTAAATCAATAAAGTGAACGTCCATTCCTTCGGCCACACCTGCAATCGAAATAACTTCTCAATAAAACTAGTACACACAATGGTACAGTGGAAGAGAGCTTAATTGGGCACAGCAATGGGTCACAAACAGTCGTAGTTTGAATGCCCAAATTCTTTTTTTTTGAAGGGATTATTACACCAGGAAAAAACAATCCACTTTACTGTATATTCTGTGAAGTGCTTTGAGACGTCTTGAAGATGTGATAAGGTGCTATATGAAATGCAGGTATTATTATTATTAGTAGTATTATTATTCATTTGTAGTAATGTCTCAGAGTGCTAAAGCTAATTGGGGAATAACAAGGGAGTTCCTACTTACTGCTAGGTGAACAGAGGCGTGTGGAATGAGGAAAGTTGCTCAACGTTTTGCTCTGTCCGGAATCAAACCCGGGTCCTCTCGCATGAGAGGTGAGTGCTCTAACCATTGAGATACATGACTTCACCTGTATCAGGAACTTACCTAAATTAGATCTCAGATACAAAATATACAGTCACTAACTTTATAGTAAATCCGGTGACACACTTTGAAATATCCTCCTGATAGAAAGTCGCTCTATCAAATTATTATTATTATTATTATCTCTCCAGTTTATGCTACTGGTTCAGTCTTATAAACACAAACTTCTTATCCAGACAAGATAATTATCCAGAGATCCAGATAATTTCTTATCTAGTCTTATCCAAATTTCTTATCCGCACATCTTAAAAGAGAGCCTTGACTTCACAGCGCAACTTTACTCTGACACAGGAGCCTGCTATGGATAAGTAGACACATGCAGATGCACAGCAGTCTGCTAAACAAGTGATCAACAAAGTCTCTTTCAATCCTAAACAGCAAGTCCTGAGCATTGTTACATTTGATGTGCATGTGGGTGGTTCTGCCTAAAAGCACTTTAAAAATCCAAATGCCATGTGAATTCATTTGTTTGCTTTGCCTGATGACATTTACAGGCATCTCTGAACATGTTCTTTGATTTATTTGACTCATTAAGTGACATTAGTGCAGTACTAAGTGGAATTAATTTTGTGTTTGTACTAACAGTTAACTTTTGTTGCTTAAAAATGTTCTAAAGGGTGCAGCTAATGGCTGTAATTTTGCATTAGTGTCACAAGTTTGAAGAATATATGAGCTAAATAAAGTTATTCAAATATAAATGTAGCTTAAGTGGATTCACTCAACACTCCCTAGTGAACTAGTGACCCCCTCCCACCCATTCCCTGAATACATTTACTGCCATTATTACACAGTTCAGAACTTTACAGCTGAGGGCTTAACTTGGCTCAAAATCTAAAATACTGCCCACAGAAATTAAGTTTTCTCCCTCAGTTTTTCAACATTTTATGTCAATCGATTTCTGCTTAATAAATGTAAACCCAAAGCAATGCTCTTGGACACACTCAGATGGCAGAACAAGAGTGCACAGATTTTAATAATAATAATAATAATAATCCTTGCATTTGATATAGCGCTTTTCACGTCGGGAGGACGTCCCAAAGCGCTTCACAGAACACACTGTAAAGTGAATTGACTGTATATTTGTGGGCGAACGCGGCAGCCAATTGCGCACATCAATGTCCCACAAACAGTCGTAGATTGAAAATGACCAATTTAATTATTGTTTTTGGTTTTTTGGAGGGATTATTATTAGGCGTGTGGAGTAAGGAAACTTGCCCAAGGTTTCGCCCTGCCTGGAAAGTTTAAAGTTGCAACAGGCAATTTCAGGCCTGACAGCGGGAAGTATTTCTTTACTAAGAGGGTAATTAATGAGTGGAACAAATTACCAGGAAGAGGAGTTGAGGCCGGAATACTTGACTCATTGAACAAAAGCAACTTTGTGCTGTGATGGGAGGATGATACGGTAGATATTCTGCAAAATGAGATCAAATAGGCCAAAAGGTCTTCTTCATCCAAACCAATTTTGTGATATTCAAAAGAGGGTTGGCTTACCCTGGGTAGAGTGCACATCATACAATACTGCACCAAACAAAGAAGAAACTCACCGCTAATTTGGTTTTCACCCAGTGCTTACCTCAGATTTGTGTCTAAAACACAATTATTTATATTGGATTTTCCAATATTTTTGCCAACTCCCAAGAACTTTTCATACACCCAACCACTTTGCAGAGTGGAGTTCCTACGCATTGCGTCTGATTGACAGAGGGAGTAACCATCTGTGAAACAGAATCCTTATTAAGGAATCCAATTAAATAACTCTCTGGGCTTTAGACTATAATCTCAGAGTTTGAAGTGTAATTTATCAATTCCCTACTTTATGGAAGTTCAAAGAAAGATCCCAAGAGATTTTCTGGTTTCACCCCATTAAATGGTTTCCTACGTCCAAGTATAACCAGAGTATCCTTCATCCCACCTCACTTGGGGCCCGAAGGACAGTGTCCAAGCAAAAGTTCACATCTACCACAAACAAACAACAACTATACGAAGTTGTATAGTGGCTTTCATGTTGGGAGGACATCCCAAGGCGCTGGACAATCAGTGTTTCGGACACAAGCTGGGGGTCGGGGGGCAGGGGGGAAGGAGGGTGATTGAAGGTACAGTTGAATAGGAAGGTTTTGGGTCTTGAAGGAGGCAAGGAAAGGGGAGAGGTGAATTGATTGCGGGATGGAGTTCCAGAGAGTGGGAGCAGAGTGGCTGAAGGCCTGTCCGCCAATGGTGGAGCGGGTGAAGCAGGGGATGTGAAGCTCTCATCCAGGACCTGATGTCTGACAAACATTCTGTCAGGACAGCAGTGGTCCTGGAGTCAAGGGTAGAGGTACAGTTGTGTGTCTACCGCATACATGTGATCCCGTGTCTGTGGATGATGTCACCTTGAGGGAGCATATAGATATTGAAGAGGAGGGGACCAAGGACAAA